GACTGCATATAAAGGTCTATTGTCAATGTGAAACTGTCTTTGAGATCACCTCACCATCTCTTTTTAGACTCAGGAAGTCACCTCATTAATTTACCCTTTTGCCCATGAGAATAAAACCTTTTAAAGTGCTTCAGAGTTCTTTGTCTCCTCTTTATCTCTGTTTTTCCCCCATGTCTGAATTCTACGGGTAGAGTAAAAGTCTCATCCCATACTGTGAAATGTGTTTTCCTTTCGTAAGGAATCTTTTCAAAGCAGATTAAGAATAAGTCTTAGTACATATAAATAGTAGTCTTAGAAAGTCAGGAAAATAACTGCTTCCTTTGTTCACATGGATAGGATAAGAAGTAATTGGATTAAAATAATAAAAAAAAAAGTTTACAAATTTCTTTACTTCTTTTCAGAAAGAGTGGTGAGGTATTAGAACAGACTGCATAGGGAAGTGATAGAGTTATCAGCCTTGGAATGACATGATATAGAGTGGTCACAAGCATGGATTGATTGTCAGACTAGATGATCTTTGTGGTCTTTCCAACCTTAATGATTCTATGCTTCCATGATTCCATGAAAATAATAAGTCAGAGATTAGTAAAAATTAAAGGAGTAATTAAGCACAGTTGCCTGAGGAGTCTATGGGATTTTTCTCTTTGAAAGACTTTAATTAGATACATCCAAAAATGGAACAAGCATGAATTAAGTAGAATGATCCTGCTTTCAGAACGACATTCTGATATTCCAGCCAGTGCCATTTTCTGTGGCACAACTCTGTACAACAGTTTTGGCTGTAAAAACTGCCTTTTCTAGATTGTCAACGTCAGTCTTAGATCAGATTCTTCCAGAAGTAAATAATTTAATTGGACAGATGAATGCAATGCAGTGTGTGATCAGTTATTTAATGAGAAGAAGGATGGATTTCTTTCCAGTGCCAACCAATAATTTTTGTTTCCTACTGAGCAAGAATGCCTACTGAGCCACACTGAAGTACTGTCTCTTTATGGCACATAACAAATGACTAAAAGAAATTGGGTCATTGGAGTGTGAAAGGCAACATAGGTGTGTAGTAAAATAGAGGCTCTATCTTGAGATGCTCACTATCTCAAGCAGCCACAAAAGTCACAGAGGAAGTCTGAAGACATAGAAATGCAATGAGATATGAAATCAAATGACCTTTGAGATCCTTTTCAACCCAGGCCATTCTATGATTCTGATTCTATGATTCTATGACTAAAATTTTTATCTGAACTTCTGTTTTACTAACAGCACTGCATTGCATGCACAAGGGCTTTCTTTTCTGAGACATTACCTTTGACTTAGATTTTTGACCTACAGGTTTGTCAGAGATTTACGAATCCACTGGATGAACTTCACTCCATCCTGGCTTGTTGTCACTTTTTGCCAGTCATTTGCTATTAGCCATTTCCAGAAGCCATACGCTGGTTTGGTGGACATTTGATCTGATCTCATACAGCTATGTTTATTTTCTGATGTTAGATTTTCAGATGTCTAGGACCTGTATTTCCTCTCAGAGACATATGCATCTCTTACTGACATAAGTAGAAGATGTGCTCGCTTGCCCATGGATTAACAAGGAAATTCTCTGATTATTGCCTGATAACAACACGTATGTATTTGAGCATATATGCAAACAAATCATCCTGGGGAATATAGAGCATTCCTGCAAGGGCAAAATGAAGACCTTCTTTCAAACATTCTCTGAGCTTCCCTCCAACCAAATTAGAGCTTGCTTATGTCTGTATTAGTAACTGTGAAATTGGACCATAAGATGCAGTATTTATTGGAACTAGTCAACAAAAATGAATTTAAAACAGTGAGAAGAAAATAAGAAAAATAAGGTAGACTGACTTATTTTCAGTGCAAATATTTGCATCATTTCTCTATATGTAATCCTCAAGCCCTACCTTACGGTGTTCTTACTTTAGCCTTCTGTTGTTCGTATTAGAAAAAGAAAAGGATTCTCCAAACATCTTTGACCAGCAACTCTACTGCTTCCATCTCCTGCAGGACATAGCTGTAGACTGCTATTGCTCAATTTGAGGGCCACTGAGCCACAAGGAGGCCAAGTACAGGGAATCCACAGAGTTTCTTTTCCAAACTAAGTCATTCTCTAGTCTTCAATAGCTCTGGCTAAATATACTTTGGATGTAGAAGGTAAAACAGCTTTTCATTTCCTCAGTCTTTTATTGCTGCTGTAGAAAACAAACTTTTGTTTTGAGTGACATGGAAGGATCTGAATTAAAGTTGCTAATTACAGGGCATTTAATTAATAGCTATAATATGATTCTTTCTTGGGCTACAATCCGATGCCTGAAGAAGAGAAATCAGGTAAATGAGTGGGCGGCAGGCAGCTGTGTCACAGGCATCAGTATTCAGGTGAGGCTATAGCAGGCTTCTCAAAAATCCCTCAAAGGGGTGGCATGATTGTACACTGAAAATATTTTCTTAACTGCTTATTTTATCCCCACAGAAGAAATCTGAACACGTATACCATGTTTAGCTTCCACATTCTTGCCAAAGACACAATGCAAGATATTCTAGATGGAAGAGTTCTGGCAGATTTATTTTTCCCTGAAGCAGTAGAAATAGCCAAAAATGAAATTAGAGCATATTAAGGTCTGCAAAATTTCATTTACTCATTTATCTTACAATATCTTCTCAATTTCTCAAGTTTGGATTTGTAGAAACACAGAAAAAGGCATGTTAACTACAGCACTCACCCACAACACTAGTCTAGTCTAAATCTATCCTCTCCTGGTTTATCCTCTTCCATTTCCCCTTGTCCTGTTGCTACCTGTCCTTATATAACATCCTATCTATGACAAGTTGACAGATTAAATGTCCACATTACTTATAATGGAATTAAGAGGGCCCTATTTTTCTTCATTAACTATAGATGTGGTTAGTGCACATGAATATGTCTAAACTGCAGACATAAAAATATACTTACATGGATCTCACCCTGAGAACACTTGCTTCTTTTTGGTCAGGCCAAAGAAGGGAAGAAAAGGGAACAAGATATCCATGGAAGACACTTCAGAGAAAGTGCATTTGCAAAGGAAAGCAGCCATAGTGCCATAAGACAGAGAAATAAGTAAGAAATGCATCTCAATTTGGAAAAAAAAAAAGAAAATTAAAAAAAAATAATCCAAAGCTTGTGCCAAAGAGAAAATATAGAGGTAGTAGTCTTAGCAATAGAGCTTTCAAGCCTGTTGAGAAAAGCTGCATTCCTTACATGCTGCCCTGAGGATCTTATCAGGATATCTTGCTTCACAGATACTGTTTTATTCCTGTTCCTGTTCTGTTCATACTTGAAACAGCATCAGACCATCCTTGTAATAATGCACCTGAAGAGCAGCAGGCAACTTTAGCTAGCTCCTGGTATGCTTTATTTTGTGGTCAAAATACCATTTTTCTAATCTCTTTTGGGGTCCAATTGTTTATTTAGAATATGTGGTAATTTTGTGGTAAAGTCCCAGTAGGTAGACATTAAGATATTTTACTTCTTTGACAATTACATGGACTTTTCCTACTGTTCGACATGGTGGAAGGAAGGGATGCCATACACAGGGACCTCGACAGACTGGGTGGCTAGGTGGGCCTGGGTGAACCTGATGAGGTTCAACATGGCAAAGTGCAGAGTTTTGCACTTGGGCTGGAGGAATCCCAGGCATCCATACAGACTGGAAGGAATGGTCCTTGAGAGCAGCCCTGCTGAGAAGGACCTGGGGGTCTTGATAGATGAAAAACTTAACATGAGCCAGCAGTCTGCCCTTGCAGCTTGGAAGGCAAATGGTATCCTGGGCTCCATCAGAAGAGGGGTGGCCAGCAGGGACAGGGAGATGATTGTCCCCTTCACTCTGCTCTTGTGAGGCCCCATCTGGAGTACTGTGTCCAGGTCTGGAGTCCCCAGTACAAGAAAGACAGAGAGCTGTTGGAGAAGGTCCAGAGGAGAGATGATCAGGGGACTGGAGCACCACCCCTATGAAGACCGGCTGAGGGAGCTGGGCTTGTTCAGCCTGGAGAAAAGAAGGCTGCAGGGTGACCTCACTGCAGCATTTCAATACCTAAAGGGAGCCTACAGAGGGGAGGGGAACCAACTCTTTGAAAGGGTAGATGAGAGGAGGACAAGGAGAAATGGTTTGAAGCTGAGGGAAGGGAGATTTAGGTTGGATGTCAGGGGGAAATTCTTTACAGAGAGAGTGGTGAGGTGCTGGAACAGGCTGCCCAGAGAAGTTGTGGATGCCCCGTTCATCCCTGGAGGTGTTAAAGGCCAGATTGGATGGGGCCCTGGGCAGCCTGGTCTAGTATTAAATGTGGAGGTTGGTGGCCCTGCATGTGGCAGGGGGGTTGGAGATTTATGATCCTTGATGTCCCTTCCAACCCAGGCCACCCTGTGATTCTGTGATTCTGTGGTTCACCTATTGGGTGAACATATCTGAGCATTTTTCTTTCTCCCCATAGATATCAGAGAAGGAACCTCTGTTACCACTGAAACCCATGTAAGAAGTTTCACCTATTTGTTGCCTTTAGTTCAGTAGGGACAGATCAGTACATTGGCTGAAAAAAAGGAAGAAAAGGATATAGATATTAACCTCTTCTTTTTGGAGCTTCCTAATTCACATCTATCCAGAAGCCACATCAGCAGTTCTTAACACTACTTGAATGAGGTTGCATACTTACGTAACGCATTTTAAACTGCTGTAAATGAAGGGAATGATACAAACCAAATGACTGTGTGTGTGCTTTCCCTCTCATAATGATCTTATTAGAACTGGCCAGATTTATGTTTGCATGGACATCATGGCAATAAAGTGTTTTTTTGTACAATATGTGCCACTGCAACACAGCTGACATTACTTTTGGCCTTTTAGATAGTGCGTGTCTAGAAGAGATCATGAGTGTGGGCTTTACATATGCACCACTGAACTGTCTTTCATTTTGTCCTTCTCTGATGAGATGGGCTTTAATTGTGCAGCATTACTCACCTTCCCAGCAGCAAAAATTCTCCAGCAAGTCCCAGGCGCCTCATAGCCATTAAGAGCCCTCTCACAGTCATGCCTTCACAGAAACAGGCAACCACTCTTGCCTTGGGCAGGTGGCTCCGAAGCTTCCGCAGTAACTTGTCAAAGCTCTGCTCACCAGCATTGCTATAGATCTTGTAGGAATGTGCAATGCAGATCCCTTCCTTGGCCGCCATATCTTTGAATGCTTCCATTCCACTTTCACCATAGTTTCCTACATGCAAACAGAAATGTTTATGAATACTTTGAAATTTGCAGTAGCTTTTATTTCTTTGGGAACAGCAAATATTTTAAAGAGTACATAATATATCTGCACAGGGATCTCTGTATCCATCTTATGAAAATAACATCAACTCTTCAATTTATTCATCCATTTTTCAAGCCAAGATCAACAAAATTTCCTAAGAAACCTGACTTTTATTTAGCAATCTTCTCTGTTGAAAACAAAAGCTGTTAATTATCTCAATAAATGTATCTGTTCAAAATGTCTACAGCAAAGTATATATAAATTAAGCATTGATTTCTGATTCTCTTAAGTTGACTGAATGTGGTCAGTTGCTCTGGAGCTTGCTTCAAAATATCTAAAAATAAATGTTTGGGATATATTCTTGGGTGTAATTTTTTTGAATGTAAACAAAACAAAAAAATAATAACAACACAAGTTTGTTCATAATGAAATCTGAACACAACAACATTCTTTACCAGGCCTGTTGAAAAACACAGTGCTTAAACAGTAGATGTACTGATCCCACTTACTATCACACTGACCAGGACTGTCTTCCTGGTTCCGTGTGCTCCTCCATCTGGCTTTCTAAATCTGCTTCTTGTCTAATTTAAATCAGAAGGAATTAGAGACAGAAACTCTGTCTTCTCCAAAGTACTGTCTTAACTTCAGAGTACTATTCCACAAAAACACAGTCAATATGTTAATAAGACTGAATGAGCTTGTTAGAGCAATGCCTTTGCAATGAACTGCTGATCTTTTGCTTCTGTTTGTGTGCAGATAGAAGACTCTGTGAGGAAAAATATTTTTTCAGCATAGATAACAGCATGTAAGACAATAGTGAAAATATATGCGAAGTAGTGAGAGTCATAAAACAGGATTTGAACTCTCACTGTCCTCATCTGCTTTTGTGACTTTGGACATTGGATTACTCAGCCTGCCCATACAGGAAATTGCTTCTATTGGTAGATGGTTGGACTGGGTGATCTTAGAGGCCTTTTCTGATCTTGGTGATTCTATGATTCAGTTATTCTATTGCTTTTAGATTTTAGAGCCTGTATTAAGTTCCAGTATATGAACACAAAAGACTCTATTTCAACTTCAAAGATCATCTGAATAACCAAAAGAGACAGAGTGGAAGAAAGGAAATATTGCAAAAACTTCATGTCACATCAGAAGCGAATCACTGAGATCTTGAGGTTAGCAACTCAAGTGCAGCTCTCCCTGTGTGATAAGCGCCAATTTTCATTTTCCTCCCAGCTGTGACAAGGTCTGATGGAAAATCCATTACTTTGCAAATTGTGTGTGGATTTTTAAACTCTTGTAGCAGTGATTCTTGGGAGTTGTAAATCAGACACTCAGTGCTTTCTCATGTGCCAGGCTCATAGGGCAAAAATTTCCTGTGGTGTATCAGCATCAAGTGATTCCCATGAGATGCTGAGGGAGTTCAGCTGGAGTTCAAAAACGTAGAGTCTCATGAAAGACTTATTACAGCCTCAAAAGACAGTCTAGAGGAAAAATAGGGGTCAGTCACAAAGAACTTCCACAGACCCTGAGGCCATCTAAAGTACAACTTGACAGTTTGACAAGAAATAGAGTTTATTTAGATTTATTACTTTGCTTAAAGTTATTCTTATTTAGTCAGTCTGGATCAAAATTAAATGTTTTGTTTCACTTTCCCTAACAGAGAAAAGTTGCACTAAGTTTTGCTGCAGAGTATGGATGTTTGAGGAAAAAAACAGAATTCATAATGTATCTCAAAGAAATAGAAATTCTGAAAACTTCATTTTCTATCAAGAAATTGTCAGTGAAAAATTCCTGACTTACAGAGCTTGATCTCTTCAATGTTCTAAACACTGAACTCTTTGAAAATGTTATAAACATCCAAAACTGTTACCCCAAAGCTTGCTATTAAGCTAAGAACAGGCTTAATTACAGTACTGAAAAAGTAGTACGTCTTGTGATGAGCACAGAATCAATTGAGCGGGAAGGAATTAGATACTGAAAGGTCACTTTCACATCTCCCCTAAGCCTTCTCTTCTCCAGGCTGAAAAACCTCAACACTTCATAAAAGACATTAATTCTTTTCATGCCTTTTCCATTACACAAATACTATCATCTCATCATTTATCAGGACAGGGAGGTTTTGTGAAACCATACAGAAATCAGTGCCTCACCAAAAATGAGAGAAAACATGCTGAACTACAAAGGCCAGTTAAAAAAGTGAGACTTTCTTAACATTTGGAACAAGTGCATCCCAGCACTCTGAATCTGCGAGTGAGTTTTCCAACTGGGAAAACTATAGCTGGCTAAACTCAAGAGAGATATGATGGAAACAGAAAGCCATATTTTTTTCTTCAAGATATTCATACAAACACACCAGTGGAGATTTTGTCATGATCATTTCTGATTAAACACTACTTCTTTAATTATTCATAGTGAATTCCCCTGTTTTGCTAGAGGTTTGATGAGTTATGTATGTTTAATTTGAGTAATACTTTGGGGATTATGAACACTTCTTGATGGATAAAGGAATAATTTTCTATTAAATTCCTTTGCATTACATTACAGTTAATTTCTTCTGAGCGATCTTTTGGTGGAAAACTTGTATGTGTACAAAGGTGCACATATAGCACAGGGAGTGGAAAACTAGGGAAAGTATAGTATATCATTTCCTCGAGAATGAGATGAGGTTCACAGTGGAGAGCATTTCCTTTCTGTGTGGAACTGGGTTTCTCATAGATATTTGATTCTTGGAATATAATTTTTATTTTTCCATAATAGAAAATTGCCCACACTGACACAGGAAGAACAAATTTCCACCACCAGGGTAGTTCCCTGTCTTTAGCAAGTTCTAGGAGTCAAGGAGAAATATTTTTGGGCTTACACATATGTCTGGCCAAGGCACGGATTTGTGTTGAGAAGAGCAATTTTTTAGTTTCAATTCTAAGTGAAAATCTGGAACCAGTGCAACATCTTCTGTGAGTTCCCTGTGACAGAAGTTGCCTACAACCTGGCAGTCTTGCCATGAAGGTATTCTGTTTCTACTTATAAACTTAATGAAAATTCCTAAGAAAAAATTTGAACAGAAGGGAAGGATTGATCTACTGCTATTTGACTAATTCCAATTCATCAGAAAAAGCTTCCACAAACAACAAAAGCTAGAACTGATGTACGGTCAGTTCATAGTCCTCCACCACCAAATTCCGTCTCTGTTTCAGTGTTAGGAAAGCTGCGTCCTTATATTGTACTGGTGTCCATATCATCTTGAAAGCTTGTGGCATAATCAGAGCTGCTAGATACTGGTGACTTTTTGGAAATACGTTACTGTACTCATAGCAACAATGGGCAGCTGCGTTCTTATACCAGCCTGAATTCTGTATGTTGCCTACCTGAATGTCTGGTATTAATCCACATTCAAAAAGTGCTCTCACATGTTTCTGCATGTTTTAAATAAACAAGCAATCAAAAAAAAACAAAACAAAACAAAAAAAAACCATTGATTACATCAGCATCAGCAATGCTTATCCCTGCTTCCAAGTTGTAAATTTGTTCCAAACTGAGCCAGGTCTCCCAGTCTATAGTCTAACTGCAGCAATCTGTTCCACTTTCAATGATTCAATACTAGAAAGAAGCTATTAAGAAGCTTAACAAGGACAGATTGTGCTTTTTTCCAGATGAGGGTTAATATAGTACAGTGCATAATAATACTTCAATCTGATAGAACAGGTTCAGGAAAACTGCCGGTTGCTCTTGCTGCTCCTCCTGCCCAGCAATTGAGCCAATTGAACCATCTGAACATAACTACGTTACCCAGCAAAAAAAGCAAGCTTTTAAACCTAAAAATAATTTTTAAAAGTATGCTGGGATTTCTTTATGGAATACAGAATGGCTTTTTTTCCTTGTTGGCTTATCTATAATAGTTTGCTGCATGTACATACTGTTATCAGATTATTTTTGGGCTTATAAGAGACATTAATTGAACCAGCCTTTATGGAAGATTTAGTAAGTAAAATTGCTTCAAGACATGAAGTTCACCGTAAAAATTCAGAAAGTCAAAGAATAGCAGCCTCAAGAAATTGAAGGTATACATTATACTATTCATTAGCTAGAAATAAGCCTATCAATCACAGAGAAATACTTCCAAAATTTTAATAGTGAAGAGTAAAACACAGAATAATATTTTATTCTGGATCTGAACCATGGGGAAAAAAAAAAAAAAAAGAAAGTCAACTTAAAATTCTCAGTAGATATTTTGCAATCAATACAGAGGATAGAGGATATAAACCTTCAGGTTTTTTTTGTGTAGTGGTTCTTTTTTTTTTTTTTTTTTTTTTTTTTCTTTAATTTTTAATTTGCTCTTATTACATCAACAGGATGAACTTCACCAGAAATGCCAAAAAAAATCTAAGTAGGTATAATTTTGAAAATACATGTGGGAGTAATTGAAGATGTTTATGAAAGGCAACATGTTCATGGATTATCAAGATGATCTTCCTGAGAGGTAATGTGTAGTACTGTCTCCCAGATTGTGATGTTAGAAGCCTCTCTGACTGCTACACCTGAAATTAATCATGGCAAAACACAAGTAGTATCTACCCACTATCCCCTCTTAACGCAAATCTGTCCTGTTATATGCAATTAGCTTTTACATATGAGAAGTTTTTTCTTTCTTCCTTTGGCAGAAGGCTGGACAGGGCTTTGAGCAACCTGGTCTAGAGGGAGGTGTCCCTGCCAAAAGCAGGGTTGCTGGAACTAGATGATCTTAAGGTCTCTTCCAACTCAAAACATTCTATGATTCTGTAAGATTGGTTTGTTGCACCCCATGAAGGGCCAAATGACTATGTCAACAGAAGATTTTTGCAATGAAATGACTGCATGAGCAATGCAACCAGCTAATTTTGATTGGACTTGAAGAGTTTATCAGACAGCTATAAAGCAGCAAAGGCATGGCATGTGGCAAAAATTCTCCATGATTCATTTAAGAAAGA